AAAGCTGAAAAAATAACAAGTATGTTTCACAGGTTTAAAAGTTTTATCTGCCTGTATCTATTCTGAACTGGAAGGTCATGTAATATGTATTCTCATTGTTGTATCATGGAGAGGGAAAAACAGTCCTTCTCCTGGCACTGGACTCCTCTGCAAAGCTACCACTTGCATGCCAACCAACTCCTGAGTCTTTAGCCAGTCCAGGGAAAAGTACTTGGTGAAGAAGAAAGGAAGACAGTTAAGATCGAGCGTGGAAAATTCTTATCCAGAATCTCTATGTATACCAACTAAAACCAAAGAATGTCTTTTTTCTCCTCTGAATCACTACAAAAACACATGTGCACATATACATATGTTCATACATGTATGTCTATTAAAAAAAAACAAACACCTCCCCAGTCTTTTATAGTGGAAAGCATCTTCCAAGGGATGGAGTATGCCTGTAAACAGTAGCTCTGCTTCTGTTGAGAAATCAAGACATCTTTCACCGTCTTTTACCTAGTGTTGTTCACCTGTAACTCTTCATGGTGAAAGGGCTACTCCACCAAGAGCAAGTAAATGGGCTGTTCCATTCTGTGAATTCCCACTCTTGCTTAAGAGGGAGTCTTAAGTAAAGAGTGAAGTAGCAAGTATGCTTCAGTGAATAGTAATGAAGAAATAAAATGTTTCCAAAATAAAGGAATATGACTGTCAAAACCCATTCTTCATGAAGCTTCTTTTTAGATTTTAAATGAACAGTGCCCCCTTTATTTGTCTGAACACTGAGGTGTTCTGTCCTGAAGCAAGCTCCAAATAGAAGACATGTCTAGCTATTATTTTAAAATAATCTGCCTCTAATATGAGCAGGATTATCTGCTCCATGAAATAACATGTTTATTGTACTCTGCTCAGAATAAAATATATGGCTAAGGGACAGCAGGCAACGTAGTGACTTCACCATCTGAGGCTTGGCTAATAAAGTCTCAACTCTCTGACATTATCATAAATAGTAGGAACCAATACTGCTGTGGCCAACACAGACTTTTCATGTAATTTAAGTTCTACCAGACATGATCCAGAAAGATTCTCTGTGGAGAATTGGACTCCCTGAATTTTCATGCACCATGCACATCCATTGACACAGCACACAATCTTACCTGATGCAGACTCTTTTACGAGTCCTGTAGATGTGCCCTAAAACCTGGCTTCCAGCTCGATGTTTGGAGCAAAACAAACATCAGTTGTAATAAATTCCACCTTTCCTAAGCTGCTGTTCTTCAGGTATTTTTTTCTAAATTATTCTGTCATAAAACATACAATAGTTTTCTTTTTAAAGTATGAATCAACTTACATTGTCATTATTCAGATTTGCTGCTTATGTCATAAAACACTTACTTATATTGAAAAATCTCAGTGAGTTTTTGAAGGCAAAGCATCCAAATTGCTTTTTGGACATAATTATAAACAAGACTTGTTTATATTTCAGTTTGTTGGGGGTTTTTTTGTTGTTGGGTTTTGGGGTTTTTTCCAGAGAATACCAGCACATATTTTCTAGATTTTCATTCTCTTTTGCATGAACTGGTCATAAAACAAGTCATCATACCTAAAAGGACACCAGCATGCATTTTCTACTTTTTTAATAGCAGTTGTAAGAGACTAAGCTACCGAGGATCTATACATATGTGTGTGGGGTGTGTATGTGTAAACTTGCTGAAGCTGCTGAATAAATGTTTTAGCAACTTACACCTTTTAAGTATGCAGACTGACATGAATAGATATATCCACTGTAAAATTCTACAACAGGATTGTCAGAAAGCAGGAACTTCAGTCCACTTTTACCAACAGAGGCATCTTGTAATGTGGGAGCCACTGAGCTGGGGGAGGCTGAAGATCCTTCAGAGGGAGGGAGCGTCCTGTAACAGATGACTAGAGAAGAAAAAAACGCAGGGCTGTTATTCTTCCCTAGTGTACTTTCCCAGCCTCTGACTTTCTTATAGCTGTATCTTTAATAGCCCCTGCTGATTTTGCCCCTAAAAATTTATCTGATCTTGAACAGTAGTTAAAAGCTGTGCAAAATGTGCCACAGTTTAATTATGTGTTGTATGGGGAACCATGACCTTTAGGTGTCTCAGGACAAACCTGCTGTCATTCCTTGTCCCCTCGTGGCTCTGCTAAGGGGACAGTGCAATATAGCCCACTATTGATTTTCTCCATGCCACTTACGGTTTTACAGACATTTATCATATCTCCTTTCAGGCTGAAGAGACTTAGTCTGTTTAATAATTTGCAAAAGGACAAAATCTGCTGCTTGTGGCCATCTTGGTGCTTCACTCTGTATATTTGCTGTTTGAGATAAGGCAGAACCAGACAGATCTGCACCCACCCAGAACTCACAATAAAGATATGTGCTGGCTTTATGCACTGACACATTAATTTACACTACTCTTTATTCCATAAGCACTAATCACCCTGGGTTCTATTGTCATGGGCAAGTTTTTCATCTGAAAGATGACATAGAGTTATGGAGTGTAACTCCAGCATCAGCTTCTTGAATACCATTAAATCATTAGTCTTTAGAGCTGTTGTATACAGAAACAAGCTTCTCAGAAACATGAAGAGTGATCATTTATGGTATGAGGGTGCTAGCTCCTTGAGAGCCTTTAATTGCTTGGGTGGTCTGTTTAGTATTGACTGTTGGGGCATAAAGCAACAGGCAATTATAGAAAAATCACTTTTGGGTACAGAAATAGCTTTTTTGTACTGGTAAGCCAGATGTACAGTTTGTGTCTTTGTCCTCCCTTCTCTTTCCAAGTTTCTTGACTCTATTAGTGAATTTAGGGTGAATTAAAATGAAAACTGACAAAGAATATATTTTTCCCATAAGAAATTTGCCATGGGTCCACAGGAAAAACAAAACAAAACAAAACCCAGTAAATTTGCTCTTAGAATGTTATATTTCATGTAGGTCACATTTGGGGATACTGACAAAGGCTCCCTCATTTTCTGAAATTTCCCTGTATTTCTGATATTATTTCCCTAAAATCCTTTCTCAGATCTATCATGTTTAGTTAATTTCTTGAAACTGGGTCTTGAATTTTGAGGAAAGGTGAATTTCAGATTTGCATAAATTGACCTCTGAAACAGGTGAGTTTGACTTCAAGTACTAATGAAATCATATATGAGTTAGAAATACAATTTAATTCTTGTTTTCCTGGTCTAAGTAAATTAGATCATCTTACCTTCTTCAGCTACATTTGCTGCTTGGTTTGCATCACATAATTTTATTTATTTTGCATAGCTATATGTGGATATGAATACTGGGGCTGTAGATGGGTTCTTCTGGTAAGCAACATTTTTTGTTCTAAGCCTTCGTTTAAATGTTATCTCTGAAATACATCTTCCATAGGGAAAACAAAACAGAGAGTAAAAGAATTTTCCAGTAGTTCTGCAGCAAGAATTGTCTGCAGTTCTGCATCGCTTATTATCTGGCATGGAAACAAATATCAACAGATATATTGCATGCATGTGCAGGATATCAAATGAAAAAAATTTACTTTAAGCTTTCCTAGCTGCATATTGTACGTTGGGGTGTGCCACTCTTTAATTTTAATAATTTATTGGATGCTCTATTGCCACAAATGAAACTCAGATTCAGGCACATTCTTGTTACCCCAAGCTCCAGCTGATTTATGTAATCAACGCTGCGCTTGGGCTACAATCAATTTTTTCCTGTGGTAAATACATTCTTTTCCTAAGACTCACAACACTGTTGTTTCTGTGGTCAGTCTGTCTGCAATTTTATCCATCTATCTTAACTCCTAGGTGCTTTAATGTGCCCATCTCTGTGTTAGAGAGATGCCAGATGAGAAAGGGAATTTATCACTTGTGAAAGAGCATCACTTGTGGAGGATACGTTTTGTTTGAGATGCCGAATTGATAGCACTTGAGAGAAGCTTTTGAAATTCAAAGAAAATGTGCAGCACAGAGACCAAAAAGTGAAGATTTTCGTATAGTGCTTTGTAAACATGTCACAAAAGAACCAGCTTAAGGGGTAAAATAGTAGATCAGCCTCTTCTGAATTCAACGTCTGACATTTTTCCTAAGAACTTCTAGGAAACTTGTAATTCTGCACTAATTCAGTCATATATGCACTTCTTCAGGAGATATTCCTTCTCTGCATAGTGCAAATGAAACTCATTTCAAGTTGAAAAGCCATCAAATTGAGTTTTTACAAATGAAAAGTGAATTGGCTGACATTTGAAGAGAATGAACATTTCCCATAAAAACTGAAAGTAACCCAAGAGAATAATCTGATAATTTTGCCAAAAAGTGGTGCTGTGGCCTTTGAATTTAAATAGTGGCTGCCAGGGGGAAAATCCAGCATTATTTTAACACAGACAGAAGTTTGGAAATTCACTTATGTATTGGTTAACTCCTACTACTGGAGATAACATTGTACCATGCAGGATTTTTTGATTTGATCACAAACTGTTGCTCTTAATTCATATGCTGACTTCCGTCTGACAGAAGATAGTATCCTTGATAATCACTAACTTTACAAGGGTTTGTATAGTTGCATCCAAGCTGCATTCATGATACAATAAAAATTCTTCGTAACTTTAATTATTAATGTTATTTTGTTGGAAACAATAACAGGATCTCCTGGGATTAATTTGACATGATACAAATGCCAAGTAAGAAGACATTAAATTTTTTAAATGTTAATGATTTTTATGTAACTTTTAGAGCAGGGCCCTGGGTGTTGGCAGAACAGCAGATTAAGCTTTGAATCAAATGCTAAATCTGCGCCAGGATGGAGCGTGCCACACTGACACCCAGCTCCAAGGTCCCTGGCATGTTATGAAATCCCAAGGTTTTATCAAAAGTAGATGCTCTTTGCAGTGGCAGCTGGGTGCTCAGATGATAAAAATTCAGCATGCAGAGGTGCCCAGGGGCATCAGGGGTGTAACACAACTGTTCCTTAAGCCACGCAGATGTAAATCTTCTCATTACTTGCCTTTCAGGTGTTCCAGGGAAATTTTGACAATGACACGCACCGTAAGAATGTCATCGACCCTCCAATCTACGCCCGGCACATCCGCATCCTCCCGTGGTCGTGGTACGGCAGGATCACCCTGCGGTCGGAGCTGCTGGGTTGCATATTAGAGGACTGAGGTGGATCTTCTTTAGGCATCGCAGCTCTTGGTGTAGCTAAAAGTCCCTCCGTAGAAGATACTGTGCAAAGCCTGTAGGATGCTCAGTGGGTTTTTCATGAACAAGTGCTCATTTTGTGGTAGGCCGCTAACTGTCTTTCGCAAGGAGGTCTAAGCCTGCCCTTTAAACGATCCAATCCGATTTTGTCCTTGAAATCTGTTAGTGTTGTCCCTTCTGCTGTGGAATTATCTTTCTAGTTTTCCTTTGAGTTGTTCACACTAGTTGAAACGTGTTAGGGAAAAACAGCAGCATCCTTTTTACAAGAGAAGCAGAATAGCATGACAAAGCTCATTTGCAGCTTTAGAAACATTGGGCTGACGAGTTCTCCATAAATCATACTTGCAAAAAGTGATACTGCAGCTTTTAGCAATAAGTTTACTTGGGGATGACTGCATTATAGTAATTGTGCCTATCAAACACTGTCAGTATTTATGACATATATTTTGGAAGATACTCTGTGGTGCTGTAAAACACAGTACCTGTGATATTACAAGCTACCTTTCATCACATTCATCTGAACAGCAGAGTCCACAGACCCAAAGAGTTTTCCTAATTAACCCCATTTTCCTTCTCTAGCTTGCATGCTGTAGACATGACCTCCATCTTTTCTGTTTAGTATCACCACTAATGTTATTTTCCTTGAAAGAGGTGACCTGTTTGCATATGGAACAAAATCTGCTATCAGTGTATTATGAAGTTAATGATTTTGCCAAAGTTTATTAATTCTGCTTGAGATGTGCTTTTTCAAGGAGGCTGAGATGAGATGCCAGGGTATTCACCTTAAGTATTCACTTGGGTAAAGGCACACAACGCATCAGAAATCCTGAGCCCGTTCAATGACTTGCCCAGGGGCGAGCGCTCAAACCTAGACAGAGCTGCCTGCCCTATTACTTCTTTCAGAAACCTCCTTAATTTATGTGAGAAGGTAGATGTGGGGTGAAGGAATCAGGTGCTAAAAGACACAATAGGAATGACTCTTACTGCCAGGAAACCCTCTCAACAGGCTTTTCTTATGATAGCAGTCACAGCCTTCCTCCCAGACAGAAAGGCAAGAGGTGTCGTAGGGGCTCATCAAAGCTGGGCCCTTGGCACCCTCCACTCCCAACCACGTATTTTCAGACATAGGCCAGCAAGCCGCAAGGAGGCTGCTTTTTATCATGCCTCATCTACAGAAGAGCTTCATACATTCTATATTGTTTTAACAGCATGATAGCCAGCGAGGACCCCAGTCTAAAAATTTGATTTTAGGAGGAAAAGTGGACCAGCAGGGGGGGCATTCTCCCCTGTGCCTCAGTTTCCCCTGATGATGGAGATAAGGGTACCAACCTTTGTAGAGCACTCCCAAGATTCCTTGGAAAAAAGTGCTATGGCTATGTTAGAGTAGCACCTAAATCTAAAAAAATCCTGGGGCAAGGAGCGAGGGGACATTTTATCTGTTTCCTGAAATAGCAGCATTTGGGATTACTGCCACCCTTTTAATTTCATAACATGCTGATGTGAAGATAGATAGATATATAGATATATAGATATATACAGCTGCATGTTTTAGCAAATGTCACTGAACTTATTTTTTGTCACTGTTACATTCTCATCAAAACACTGAAGTACTAACCTGGGCACTGCTTCCCAGGCAAACAGCTAGTTAGCCCACAGTCTGCAAAGGGCAAAGTTTACTTTGGAAACAAAATGGTTTGGATTTCAAAACCCTGCATTTAATCACACATTCTCCACCACAGACAAAATGTATTATCCATTGAACTGTGAAAGACTCTAGAATAGCAGCCAGGAATTTTACATACAAGAATTGGGGATATATTGGTGGCGGTTTTCTGATAGTGTCACTTAAACTGTCACATTTTAACAAACAGAACACCCTGCCTCTATAAAATGACTTAATCCTTAAACTGTATTTATACAAGTATTTATTTTATAAGGCTTAGACATTTAAAGACTTCTAAAGAAAAGTCTTGTAAAGGTAAAAGTATGTGTAAGAAATGTTGAGGTCCTGTGCAACACTGCTAAGTTTGTTCTTTATTTTTTACTTTGTGCTGCATAAAAAAAAAAAAAAAAAAAAAA